TGTCCAGCTTTTCAACTCAGCATATTTATTTTGAGTCATTCGTGTTGTTACATGTTTCAATAGTTCACTTCCTTTTATTGCTCAAAGTATTTCATTGTTTCAATGTACTACAATTTGTTTATCCATTCTCCAGTTGAGAAGCATCTGGGTTATTTATAATTCTGGAATTCATGGATAATGCTGCTCTGAACATGTGCATACAATCTTTACATGGACACACATTTTCATTTTTGCTCTTAAGTAAACTCCTAGGAATAGAACTGCTGCATCATATGGTAGGTGTATGTTTAACTTTGTGCGTGTGTATGTTTAACTTTTTAAGAAATTGCCAAAATGTTGTCCAAAATGACTATACCATTTTACATTACAAACGTTACAGTATGGCACCTTTAAAGGTGCCAAACATCACCGGAGATGGAGCAACTCTAGGCCCCAAAGAAGATGCATGTCCCAAATTTAGGGGACAGAGGCAGAAGGCATTTCATACAGAAAAAAAGATTCATAAAAAAAAGTCACATTGTACCCTAGTACAGTCATTGTAGCTTATAAGCCACTCGTAGGTCTGCTGCCTTAAATCACATCAGGAAAACACCTATTTTTTTTTTTTAAGATTTTATTTATTCACATGACAGTCAGAGATCACAAGTAGGCAGAGAGGCAGGCAGAGAGAGAGGAGGAGGCAGGCTCCCCGCAGAGCAGAGAGCCCGATTTGGGGCTCGATCCCAGGAAAACACCTATTTTAAAGCAACCAATATAATATAGACTCAAGTTTGGAAAGTCACACGCAAGGGAAAAAAAAAATCTTTAAAAGGCAGCAATAAAGCTGATGCAAGCAATCACAAGCAGCTCACCAGAGCATTATCTCCTAGTCAGGCACTATGCTAAACTTCATGAGATTTATACAAGGCCACTTCAGTGGTCACTATCTCCACTTTCCAGGGAAGAAACCAGAGGCAGAGGAGTTAAGAATGTGGCCCTAAGGTCATACGGCTCATAAGGCACAGAAGGAGAACTGCCGGGCTCTAGACGATGCTTTCTGTGGCTATGCTGATTTACTGCTCCATCCTTGGGTTCTACACGCCTTCCAGCCTGCTGGAGGATGCCTTCTTGAAGCTGAATGATCCTACCTCTTCAGCAACTCTTCTCCCTGTTTCCAATTTCATACTCATCAAGCAACTTTCTGATATTAAACTGGTTTTCCAAGCCCAATCTCTACTTGGAAAAAGAAGAGCTGACCAGTCAAGAAACAACGTGGAGACACTTGGCAGTGATTATCTCTTAGAGTAAATTACCAGACCAGGCATTTTGGTTTTGAATGTTAATTTGATCATAAATTTGGTTCACCTGACTAATCATGGAGGTACTAAACATCCTTTTCAGAATATCATCATAATAGAGGAAACATCATCAAAGTCAGGTATCAATGCTATACAGGCCCACAACTGCTAACAAGCTCAACTCAATACCTAAGAGTTTAACAAAACAAAAACAAAACCAAAGGCTACTGCTGGTATTAGAAATAATCTGGCTGACAGATACTACACAGATAGCTGGAAGCATTCTCAATAGCCCCCTTCTTCCTCCAGCAGGAAAAATAGAAATACATTATGCAAACTTTTAGTGTTTTTGGTATAAATGTGAAGAGATGAAAGGACAGAATTATTACAAAGTTAAGAAAAAATATATTTCCATTTTAAATGGAAGGGACTTATCGTTTCAAAACTGATTTTATTTTGGAAATACCAGACAAGTGGCAGGTCTTACTGATGGATCAGAATTTCTTTACCCAATCTTCCCTTCCATACTCTATAATGCTTGAGGACCTCATATTTTGGGGACAAGTCAAAATTTAGATGTGGCCTTAATTTCCTCCCCGAAGGCTGGCCTGCTAATTCTCACTAGATTCATGGTCTTGAATAGGAAAAATCAATAGATTCTTCGGTTTCACACAAAGCTTATTGTTCTTCCATACCCTACATATCTATAGGGTTACTGTTTTCTAAAGTTAGAATTCTATCTTCCACACCCATTTTCTGTCTTCTAGATGACATCAGTGGCAGTGATTCTCAGAGGAAAGAATAACTGGAAGGCAAGCTCTAAGAACATCAAAACATGGAAAACTGGCCCATTCAAAGCTGGGAAGTAGTACTGAGAAGGGAGAATGCTCAGCATGGCACCTCTGTTATCCCCCTCAAGTCAGGAGAGGTTAGAACATGGTGTCTTCAGAAGAGATTTCGGTTTGGTAAGGTCAAGGAAATAAAATAAGGATGGAAGTTTTTTGAAGACATAATGAATGGCAGCATTATGCACAGAATTAGGAAGCATGGATTTTATAAAGCAAAAAGGGTAACAAAGAAGGAATTATAATTGACATTAAAAAAATATTTTTTAGCTTGATTCAATTCTCTTTAATTTTCTTAGCCAATCCCTTATTGTCTGAAAATACAATTCAACCCAGTTGCTTTCAATAAGCAACAATAAAGTTTCAGTAATTTCAGCTATGTCTATATGAAGGCTGAGGGGAAGGAAGGACAGGCAAGTCACAGGACAATAACCATGGGGCTGAAAAATGGTAGATAAAAGAGGAAAGACAATACATAGATGTGCTTGTGCATGTGTCACATACATAAGTCACTGGATGAGTTAGGTTCAACCACACAGAAGGGGAGAAAAGCTTCATCACACCAAGTCTGTCAAAATCTATAGGTCTCACAAGTATCTTCCAAGGAGGATATTTTGTTTATTCTGATCATTTCAAGTTGGAGTCAACTTTGAAAGAAAACTGCCAGTAAGGCAAATGTCAAATTCTGGTTGTTTTTATAGTTTACTTTGAGGTGCCCACCGGGCAGTACCCAGAGTCATTTGAAGATAGATATACTCTCATATCTGCCATAATGTAGCAAATATGCATCATTCATCAACATTTGATATAGATACTGGCAAACTGACCCTTTGGTGCTTTAAGAAAATATTATATGGGGTGCCTGGCTGGCTCAGTTGGTAGGCCATGTGACTCTTGATCTCAGGGTCGTGAGTTCAAGCCCCATGCTGGGTGGATGTAGAGCTTCCTTAAAAAAAAAAAAATAGTAAAAATAGGAAGTAAAAATAAGAAAATCAAAAAATATTACAGACTCACAGAATCTTCATTCTGAAACAATCATTAAAGATGACCTATTTCAGTCCCCTTCTCTTACAGATGAGGAAATTTAGATGCTAAAAGGGGGATTTAAGCATCATGCACAAACTGGAAAGAACATAAACAAAATCGTATTTAAAAGCAGAGAATTAAAGAGAGCCAAATCAAAGAGAATCAAAACCTTTTAAAAAGAAAAGTATCTTCTGGCTTCATTTTGTACACAGAACAATGGTAAATTATATCCTCTCCCTCTTGCAGAAGGGGACTCACACCATAGCAAATCAGGTCTTTTCTAAAATACACACTCATACCTTCAGGCAGACACACTACCATACTGTTTTTTCTATTAACATTCAATTCTAGATCCCATCACCTAACTGAAGTGTTTCCACAAAGTTTCACAAAATTGCTGAGGCTCAACAAGTTAAGCATGTTTATTAATCCTCACCCCAAAGTACCTGCTTCTTGGGGGGGAAAAAAAGAGTTGCCTTAAACTAAAGGTAAAGTGACCTTTCTTTTAGAAATTAGAAAATAGAGATGGATAGTCTGGAATTTTTATGGTTTCCAAGACCCTCCAAAAGAGGGGATACCAGCTATTTAGAACAAAATACACATGCGGTGGATTAGGAACTGCATCACCAAGTTCTGCCAGTGGTTCTCAGCAGTGGCCGCTGTGAAGTAGACAACATGTCGGAACCAAAAGAAATGCGGAATATGTATTTTAGAGATAACTCAGGTAAAATCTACCCTAAGGAAATACAATGGTAGGAAGGAAAGGAGTAATACTGTACACAGCCCTAGATTTACCCAGTATGTCTCCTATGGGTACCCATAGTCAGGTTGTATATCTGGGAGGATGACAGGGAACAATTTGATGTCACTCATTTAACGGAGGAAAAAACCTAAGTCCTGAGAGATTCAATGGCTTTTATGGTCATGACAACTGACAATTTCTATTTAGAGACTGTTTTGCAAAGCTATTTGGTCCACAGACACTAGGAAGGAGAACTGATGCCAGCCAGACATTTTCCCCAGAATTAACTAATACAATGACTTTCTGGTTAATTAGGTTTTGATGCTCCAGAACTCAACCCAACAATTATACCGATAAAACCATTTATAACCTGCAAAGCTGCTGACCAGACCACCTATACCACACAAATTCCACTAATGGGAGATCCCTGATGTCCAGTTTGAAGCACCTGTTGGCTATCTACCAAAATGAGAGAAGTCTGAGTTATATATAAGTAAACTGATCTATTCATTCACATTCACTATCCTACTCCCTCTCTCTCTCTTCACCTGCTTCCTTTCTTCCTCTCCTCCTTCCTTCTCCCACCCCAATGGTATGTAGCAGCGGTCTGCAAACTTCTCTGTAAAGGGCCAGACAGTAAATAGTTCAGGCTTTTTGGGCTCCACCACTGTGGCACAAAAATAGCTAGAGATAATCCATTAATGAATGGGCATAGCTGTGTTTCAATAAAACTATAAAACCAGACAATGGGCCAGAGTTGGCTCGAAGGGCTGTAGTCTGTCAATCCCTAGTATAGAGAAGCAGTTCTCAACTTTTAGCCTGCAACAGAATCACCTATAATTTGTTAATACCCAGATTTCTCAGCCCCAGCCTTAAAGTTTCTGATGCAGGAGTCTTTAGTGGGGCCTGAGATCTTGCATTTTTACTAAGTTCCCAAATGATGCTGATGCTGCGGGTTTAGGGACCACACTTTGAGAACCACAGGAATAGAATAATGGTCTATCCCACACTAAGTGGAAGGTTGAAATGTAATGAACAATTAAGAAAGTGGAAATCACATGCTGTAACCTTGACTGCTAATTTCATAGAATATTTCATATGAAAACTTACTGTTAAGTGCCATAATATTATCTGTTCCTGGATGATGGAAATTTATTCCCATGCGTCCTAAAAAATAAAATAATTTTATTTTAAGCACAAAGAAGAGAATGCTTAATATAATTTCAAATACATTGTAAAAGATAAACATTACAAAACGCTGAAACAGATTAATCTATAACAATGCTATAATCTATAACAAGGCCATAGCAGTTACAACAGTTTTTAAATCAAGTCATAAAACATACAAATGAAAAAAATCTTAAAAACAAAGCCAAAATCTCATTAACAAATAAATAAAACAAAATGAAAAAGAAGCTTCCCTTATAATATATTGAAATTTTAAAGCATCTCTCGCATTCCAATTTAAACATGCCAACTGGACTAAGCATTTTATATAAATAACCATTCATACTGCCCTTCAAATTCAAGCCACAAAATAATGAATTCAAAGAAGTATATAAACTTGACGTTTAGAGGGAATAAAAGATAAATATTTCACAGTGGCTCAAAAATGCAACATAATTATCAGAATGGCTACCAGAAGAAAGATGGTAACATTTATGCAACAGCTATAGTGGGGAACAAAGACTGGCCTAAAAATCTACGGTTCTTATGCTTTCCCTACCACTAACTAGTTACACAGCCTTGGGGATAATGCTTATCTCCAGACCTTCATCCTTATAGTAACGGGTTTCTTTTTTTTTTTTTTTTTTTAAGATTTTATTTATTTATTTGACAGACAGATCACAAGTAGGCAGAGAGGCAAGCAGAGAGAGAGGAAGGGAAGCAGGCTCCCTGCCGAGCAGAGAGCCCGATGCGGGACTCGATCCCAGGACCCTGAGATCATGACCTGAGCCGAAGGCAGCGGCTTAACCCACTGAGCCACCCAGGCGCCCGATATAGTAACGGGTTTCAAATGTCTGCCCACACTGACTGGCTGCCTGTTTTTGTACACCTCTGAGCTAAGAATCATTTTTACATTTTTTAAGGGCTGTAAAAATAAAAACTAAAAAACAAAGAATAATATGTGACAGAGACCATATGAACCACAGGCCTAAAATATTTCCTCTCTGGCCCTTTACAGACAAAAGTTTGCCAACCTCTGGCCTATAAGATGTAAGCCTGAAACAGATGTTTTAATGGATAGCCTCCAGGGTTAAGAGTGGAAGATGTAGACAATTGGTATGTTTTTCATGAATTATTTGGGAAAAGAAGGTGAATATATTAAAAGAATAATGAAACAGATAGTCTTATATGGAAAAAAATGTATTTAAGTTTTCTTGACCAAGCTTTTCAATAAAATAATTATTGATACAGTGCTTTTGTGTAAAGCTATTATACATATGACCCTGGTTCTGCAAAGGTCTTCGTGTCCAGTTAGGTCAAAGGTTATCGTGAAATTCTCAGAAAAATGTCAATTTTATGTCATTACTACTGTTAAATAAATGTCAACAGTATGAGGGGGTGGTACAGAGAATGCTGGAGATATGGAAGTGATGACTTTTACAACAAATACAGTGTTATAAATAATTGCAAAAGGTCATTTGGTATTAATTTGGTATTAATCTCCGTTGTGGGGTACTGAAGGCAAACAGCACTATTGAGCTCTTCTGGCCCAAAAGAGAAGAATCACAGTAGACAAAACAGCATTTGCTTCAAATAAAAAGGCGGAATAATGAATTTCCAGCCAAATCAATTTTTTGCCTAGACAAGGCCAACCTTGTCTCTTAAAAAACCCTCAGGTGATAGTAATTATTGAAAGGTCATTTGTATTAAAGGATAAGGAAAAAATAAAACTCTCATAAGTGTAATATTGCTTGTACTGCTGGATGCATGTGTGTGTGTATGTGTGTGTATATGAGAAAGAAAGTAATTAAGAATGTAAAAATCATCAATAATTGATGGATTCTAAGGAGATTATTCTAATTTTACCATGAAGTGTTATTACCATGAAGTGTTATAGGACTTTCACTAAAAATTATTTTTAGTTTTTACCATTTAAACTTATTAGGAGGAAGATATTACATATATCTATCTCTAATTTTATGGAAATATTTTGCTAGCATTAAATTACAGTATAATCATTTTTTAGAATATATTTTAATGTTTTCTAGAGAAAAATCACCCTATTAGTAAAGAACCATTTTTTAAATAATAGAATTACCTGTTTTATTTTGTATTGATTCCATAGATCTTTTCATATTTACTAGAAGCTAATTGTGAGGAGTTTCAGAAACTAACCATTGTTTAAAGACACATTTAACAGTATCTATATATGTAATTACTCTGTGTCTTATGTTCCTCCAGATCCTAAGTCATCTTAGAGTCTCTAAACATATTGTCTACCCCATACGCAATGAGTGCTACCTCCTACCACCACCTGATCAGAATCTATAATAGGAACATTCGTCATGAGAATAAGGCTTGTGACTTGGCAGGGAGAATTTACATTCTGGTTTTAGTTAGCTGTATCAATATTCTATAATTTTCAGATAATCAAGACCTTATTTGGATTCATTACCACCAAATACTAACATCCGTAATAACTAGATGTGATTTACTCATTGTATTCTGACATATCCAAATTTAACAGTAAACAGACAGTCACTGGAAAGTATGCCTACAAACCAGAGTTGAGTTCAAAATCATTGCAGAACTTAAGGAAATGGTATATAGAAATGGTCTCCTCAATCTCTGACCAAGGAACATTCAGACGTGGGTTTGGTTCCTAAAAGGCCAGGGGTATTCCCTAAAATAATAAGGGGTTATCAAGAAAACTAAGCAAGTCTTGGGACATGTGGGTGGCTCAATGGGGCTGGGCATCCAACTCTTGATTTTGGCTCAGGTCATGATCTCAGGGTCGTGAGATCAAGTCCCACATCTGGATCTGTGCTCAGCATGGAGCCTGCTTGGAGTTCTCTCTCTCCCTCTTCCTCCGCCCTTCCCACTCCCCCTAAAACAAAAACAAAACCCAAGCAAGCCCAAATTTAATTGATCCTCATTAGACTTCCTATATTTCCTGTGCTACAATCGTTTATGGTAAGAATTATGTGGTCTTAAAATTGCTACATCAAATAATAGTTTTTATATGTTTTTGGAACCATTGCTGTTCCCACACTTAAAGGGTGCTCTCTCTGCTGTCCTAAAGAAGCTGGGTCCTTTTTGGGCTCTTTCCAGATCTTAGGACTTTGCAGCTTGAAAAGATGAAACTGAAAGGAAGCTTGGTAATTTTCTGATTTTCATCCCCTAGCACACACTGATGACTTCCAATTTAATCTTTCTAAAGATGCAGGGTGGGGGGAAGCCTTAGGCAATGTTTTTGTAGATGAAGGAATCAGGATTTGCTGAAAAGCAAAAAACTTTTTGCCTTTCTTGGTATCCTCCCTGATTCTGTTGGTCTCTCAGACTTCAGTGGATCTCTGGATTAACATCACCCACAAAAGGTTTTATGCCAGACCCAACAGAAGCAATTATTTAAATATAATCTAACTGTTTCCCAACTAAATGCAAACTCTTTCTAGTAAAACCACTTACGGCTTCTTTAAGCTACTTTCTTTACCTCTACAAAAATTAATATTTAGATTACAAAATGCAATATCTTTTCATTGAAGAAAAATTAGATACAAAAAATAAGATCACCAATTAAAGACAAGCTCTGTTAACATTTTGATTTATAGTCTTTCAGTTGAAGGAGTGTTTATGTGTAAAGATTCTTTTCTAAAAGGAGAATTATTTTTTTTCTTAATATATTTTGCATCTTAAATTTTATAGTTATTATGAAATTTTAAAGGAGAAAATATATAACAGCAAAAGAAAAACTGATTCCAAATACAGATGAGGCCATTTCTTTTTTCTTCCTTTTAACCAACAAATACTGCTGTTTAATCAGCTGTGAAAATAGAATCAAGTGTGTGACATCTGGTGATTTTTGTTAATGCAGTCTGGTGCTGCCAGTGTGACATTTTGTCACCTGTCCATGGGATGCTATTTTTAAATTGTTCTTGTCAGCCAGCTATCTTTTAAGTATAGTGTAAAATATAAGGTTTCAAAAACTGAAAGGCATACTTGGTTTTACGGAGTTAAATGATGCTGTGGAAATCTGAGACTGTCCCACTTTCCTCACTGCACAGGGCCTGATAAATGTGGGGTGAGGGGATGGAGGGAGAGGTTGGAGAATAGTGTTACATATGTTTATCCAGACTCTGAAAATCACAGTCTCATAAGCTCAAGTCAAATTCATATTTAAAAGGCTAGTTATAAAAAATGACCTCTACTGTTATTCAAAGTTTCAGAGTTCAACCAACCCATATTTTTATATGTCCAAGATAAAACTTGGAATTTTCATGAATTCATAATTATGAAAGTCACCTCTTCACTTCTGCAATATGTTACAAGATAGGGAATAACTATCTTCCTCTAATCATCCCTATTTGCTCTAAAAAGTCAAGTCTTTCAGAGACCTTCACATAATAGAATTTAAATGCTGTATTTTAGAAAAGGTTATAAGAAAAATGCATATTCTGCTTTGTTGTATTTTCCACCAATTTTCTCTATAAAATTGAAAATACATTCCTTCAGAAAAAGTATCCACAAGATGAAATAATATGTAAGAATATAATAAAATGGTGTTTTAAAGTCCTTTTAAGGAAAAATGATAAAATTTTGGCACTAAAGTATTCTAATCTGTTTCAAAGAACCAAGAAGCAAAAGCTATGAGCTTAGACTTGAGGTCAAATTCTAGTTTCTTTTCATAGCAGCAGTGGATAATTTTTGGCATGCTATCAATTCCTTTGTTCCTATGTTTCCTCATTTCAGGCTATACTCTAAAATACTTAAATCATTCTTTTAAAACTCTCAGATAGGGGCACTTGGGTGGCTCAGTGGGTTAAGCATCCAATTCTTGATTTTGGCTCTGGTCATGATCTCAGGGTCCTGGGACGGCAGGTGTGTTGGGCTCCGCACTCAGCAGGGGGTTTGCATGAGGGATTCTCTCTCCCTCTCCCTCTACCCCTCCCCCTGCTCACACTCTCTCTAAAATGAATAAATAAATCTTAAAAAAAAAAAAA